ACCCATCGCAATACTAAATATTTTATCAGGAGAACAATAAATCATCAATTAAATCATAAACGTTCATCATGAGTTATTGTTTTTACAAATATACCCTGAAAATATATCACAACTTTGTACTGCTATCACGAACAGTTCTTGCAGTGAATAAACCTTGCAAGCGGAGGACTACAGCTCATCCTGGGAAGGACGTGGCGAGGATTTCTTCCCCGAGACGATGCGTTCAGGATGGAGGATTCGGTTCATTTTCGTCGGCAGAGAAGCGTGGAAATTCCGCACCTGAGGAAAGGAAATATCAAAATTAGGGAATGTGAAAGCTCATGAATGGATCTCCGGACAGGTTGGCATTAATATATATACGCGAATGTAAATCTGCCTATCCAGAAACATTCATTAGGTTTAATGGTGGAATAATCTGGATTTTTAAGTTGACGTTATTCATTCGCCCAACTCCTAATGGATTAGTTAAAATATCTGTAGTATTACAAAGGCAATAATTCAGCGCATGAAATTCTGGCTAATCATGTAAATGGAGTCATTCACCTCCTGTCGCTGGTCGGCCTCCATGGCGGGCGAGGGCGTGAGGGCGAGGTAGCGGAGGGCGTCCTCGGTCGCCGCTTCCCACTTGAACCCTAGGGAGTCGTCGGGGGTCGGATTGCTGAGCGGGGGAGGTGGGGGGAGTGCTTAGGTGATATAATTATATCAATATTTCTGTATATGTGCTTAATTCATTCAGAACACTTAAACCTTTATATATATTTTGTCGGCAATGGTTTTTGAAATTCATTTATCCGGTAACATGTCGCATAAGTTGAAAAATAGTAAGTAGTATTACTGGTGATATTTTCCAGTACAAGACTCATACATATCTCAAGTACCTGATAGACACACGCACAATAGTTACCCCGTGGCAGCGAAGTTGGTCCACATGGTCGTGACGACGTCCCTGAGGCGGAGGTCGTCCTGGCTCCGCAGGTCCGAGGGGCGGCCGGCCAGGTGGTCGGGGGCGAGGAGCGGCCCGCCGGCGAACAGGTAGAACAGGTCGTCAGCGTGAGGAATCCCTGAGAAAGTTGAGAAAAAAACAAGACATTTTTATCCAAACTTTCCTTCATATATTATGTCAAATTGGGCTAACCTATAGTTGGAAATTATAGTCAATGTATTCTAAAAGGTCTAAAGATAAAGAAAAATACTTGTTTTAGAACTTGTCTCTTTTCCACTGAAAGGAAAATTAAAAAGTACATAAAAGAGGCACTAAAAAATATATATTTAATTAATTACCCGCTTGTATACTTCCACAGTATTTACAAGACAGAAAGTGCGAATGTGAAAACCAATTTCCAAACAACTCACAGTGACGCCCTTTGTCTGTCTCTAAGAAATCCCCGAAGGACAATTCGGCTCGGTGCATGAGCTCGTAGCGGTAGGTTTCGATGCCTGGAACCCGTGCATGGTAGAGGGTCGTCAGGTCGTGCGGTATCCCGAAAGTGTAGTCTGTATACAACTAGAGATTGGAGCTTTGGTTATATAATCGACAAAGCTTAGTTTTATGACCTTATGTAAATAGTTAAGGCCATGGTTCCTAGGTTACTTATAGCAGTGGTGAGAGAGCTAAAGATCTTAGAAATGAGAAGAAAGCATCAGGGGCACACTTATGCATGGTTTCCAAAAGCAAGACTTGCCAGTATACAACAATGTGTTATTTACGTCAATACATTTAAAATCAAATAAGATTGAGATTAAGGAATTAAGATTACGTATGGAAACGTAAGGAATACTTGTCAAAGGTCAAACCAAGTTGAATGGAGGAAGAAACCAGTACATAGTGAGGTAGGAGGAATTAACAATAAAAAAGTTACAAAGTTCATGAGCAGAGAACACACAAAACAAATTGATTACCCGTGTGAGATCTTCCATGCGTTCAAGATCGAAGGTCAAGTCGCCAAGATAGTGCTGGTAAGCCCTTGTGCTAAACTCGATGGGATCTGGGACTTCGGGTCCGACCATCATGCTCACTGGACCGATGGCTGAGAAGTTTTCTTGCAAGGCACCTAGCTGGTCTTCGCGGAGTAGCAAGGCTGTAATGAAGGTGAAAATACTAGACTGTCCAGGAGTAATGCTTCTGTAGAATCTTTCAACAGAATTTGTCATCATTTTCACTCGGATTTACCCCTCGAATTCCTTACTTGCATATCCTGATATACGTAAAATACCAGAAGGAAAACTAACATTGTGCTACAATGGCTCCATCGTCTCTTGTGATCCCAGCCATAAGATTCACGTGGTGGAACTCCCCATCACGCATCAGACGCGCCGGATCATCGGGCAGGAAATCCCCATCAATGCGAGGAGTAGTTACCATTGGCAAGACGAACCATTTCTGAGGCAACGCATCGTAAACTTGTTATGTTACACGTTAAGGGCAGTGATTGATTAAGGAATATGGCTTTTTGAAAGCAGTCATTCATCATACTTCATTTCAGAGTATCTTTGGCTTACCAAGAAATCCTGGAAGGTGGCGGCCAACCTGCGGCCATCCGTCTGCTGGAGACAGGTAAGAATCTCCTGGCTGTTGAGGCCTTCTCCACACCCGACAGATTTACTCACTTCTTCTGCCACATATCTTAGCTGTTCCCGGTGAGCCCACGGCGACAAGGCCGTTCCCGACTGCATGATGACCCCAGAGAAGAGGCCTAATGTCAAGCGAAAAGTAAATTGAAGTATGCATTATGTAATAAGGTACTGTAACCTAAGTGTGTGGTTATGAGTTGACGACACATTTAATAACAATGTACTTTGTTCATAATAATATACTCATAATCAGCCATGGATTTTCTACAGGCCTAATACACATGTGCTGCTCTTCTATCTATAGACTGGTCAAATATTCGTAAACTCTGGAAAGAAATTTTGCTACTCATTTTACTTCAGCGTCCAGTGTATATAGGAGGACTTTTTCAATATTTTTTACAGAATGTCTGTTTTATAACTTCCAGGTTTTTGTTGCTATGATTTCGGATGTTGGTGTAGCTTAAATTATAAAAAAAATATAATGCACTTTCTACTATTCATTTTGAACATAGATATTTGCATTGATCATGAAAATAGATTATGTAGATAATGGTATTCTGCGTCTTTCTCTCAACGTGCCATACCGTAGAGGATTTGGACGTTATCCGAGATAGTCCATAAGCTGCATTTGCATTCTCAACAAAATCTGTAATCCATAACCTTTCCTCAGATCCACGTTATCTGTTGTATTCTATCCATCTCTAAAGAGGTAATTTATTCATAACTGTATTATATTGGTCATTATTGCTGATTTTTATAGTTATGAATATTACTATTATCACTGTCTTGAGGAAGATAATTAGAAGGCCTGTGTATGACCTTGGCCTCACCCCTTGACTTGGGCGACAGCATGTGCAGGTGGACGGAGGCGCCCCCCGCGCTCTCCCCGAAGATGGTGACCCTGGCGGCGTCGCCCCCGAAGTTGTGGATGTTGTCCTGCACCCAGCGGAGAGCCATGACTTGGTCTTTCATCCCGAAGTTCCCGGGCATCACTTCATCCTCCGTGGACAAGAATCCTGCAGAGAAAAGGAACTGTTTTATAGGCAGATGAATATCAGAAAGATGCCAACCACAAGAATCTGACACAGGAAGTTAACACTATATATATATATTGCAGGGAAATCTGAAGTGAAGTGCCGTCTGATTGCTTCATCACTCCTCACCCATGATGCCGAGTCTGTACTGCACAACTACCAGCACAATGTCGTGGTTCATGAGGACGTGAGGCAGGTACTCGTAGGCGCCGCCAGCGAAGAATCCTCCCCCGTGGATCCAGACCATGACCGGGAGTCTCTCGACAGGCTCCATTCTCTATCAAATTCACCAAGAAAGTAGACAAAATAATAAGGAGAAAATTTTAGGAGAAAAAAAACATAAGAAATAAAAGATCATAATTATCCCAGTTTTAGTAAATCTCTCCTTCCGCATAATTCTTCTCTAAAAAACACTTTCCATCTTAGCCATCAGCTGCATTACCAATGGACTCTACCTTTGGCATGAAGACGTTCAGGTAGAGGCAGTCCTCATCGCCGTGCAGTTCCTCCGGGGTCATCGTGATGCCCATGACAGCGGCGCCGAAGGGCACGAGGAGGCACGGAGAGGGCATCTGGGTCCCGTCCCGCACGCCCTCCCAGCTCTCTGCCTTCACTGGGTCCTAAGGGCAAGGCTCAGCGTGACTAACAAGTCTGGTTTAATTTTCCTCTCTGTAACAATAGGTCTGTATGTGTTGATCAGTTTCCCTTACTGTCTAGCATTCTGTGAATATATAGGCCCCGTTACTCTCTTCATAGAAGCATATATATATATATATATATATATATATATATATATATACATACATATATATATATATATATATATATATATATATATATATATATATATATATATATATATATACATATATATATATATATATATATATATATATATATATATATATATATATACATACATATATATATATATATATATATATATATATATATATATATATATATATATATATATATATATATATATATATATATATGTATGTATATATATATATATATATATATATATATATGTATATATATATATATATATATATATATATATATATATATATATATATATATATATATATATATATATATATATATATATATATATATATGCATGTTCCGTGTTTAAACACGTCCACCTCCTTCCCCCATTACCAACCTTAAGCCTGAGCTCCCCCAGGGGCGGCCTGGCGAAGGGGACGCCGTAGTAGGCGTGGAATTCTCTGCCCTTCGTGGAGGTCTCCGTCACGCCCGCCACGCGCCCCTCCGCCACCGCCACCACGGGCGCGGCGTCGCGACCCGCCACGCCCACCACGCCCGCCGGCGCCAGAACCGCCATCGCTACGAGGACAGGCAACATTTGGGCGCTGGAAGGAATGTGGAGAAGTAATGATTGTTGTAGCATTATCAACATCACGATTACCATTATGATTATCAATGTGAAGGGAAGACGAAGAAGCATTACGTTGACTTTATTGAAAGGTTGGTTCCTTAACGAGATTACAAGAGCAATCTGGAATTTTATTTGGTACCAATTTTGACATCTTTTCAGGGTTACCGAGCAGAGGACAACAATAATGTTCATGTAAATGCTATCGTCCATCCACGACGACCGTCTAGCCTTCCATCGGTTCATTAATTCTCTTGACTATCAGCAGCAGCATTTTCCCAAACACGTGATTTACTGAATGAATTAATTATCTGACGTAATGAAAGATTCCCTTGACACTTTTGCTATAGTTTTATCTTTCTTCTTTCTTTTCCTCTCTCTCTCTCTCTCTCTCTCTCTCTCTCTCTCTCTCTCTCTCTCTCTCTCTCTCTCTATATATATATATATATATATATATATATATATATATATATATATATATATATGTATATATATATATCACATTTCTCTGTGTTTTCTCTTTTTCCACTTTCTATTTCTTTTTTTTATTCTAATTATTCTAACATGACTTTAGAAAATTCTATGGCTTTCACACACACACACACACACACACACACAAACACACACACACAAACACACACACACACACACAAACACACACACACACAGATAAATACATAAACACGCACAAAAAAGCTAGCTCATTATGCTCACTCACAAATGCATATTTACAAACACACGCCACCAGACGCGGGTGAACATATGCTCATTTTTTTGTGGTCAAGGTTAAGAAAATTTGCAATTCGAAGCTTCTGTCAGTGGCCGAATTATTGCAGTCATAATAACTGTTGCAACATTCTGGGCAGTCATTCTTGAACACGCAAATAACTTTTAGATTTTTTGAGATTTATGAACAATTTTATATCCTCATAACTTGGTATTTGATGTTTTCGAATAACATCGAGTAGAAGAAGTTAGTCAAAGCAAAAAAAAAAAAACATCAGAGTGCCTAATCTTGTGAAGGCGAATGTTCAAGGACGACGCGAGCACAATGCAACACAGGGGATGACATGCAATATCACTCTCCCTTGCAATGTTTATCTTCCTCAGCATGTCTCCTTCCTCTGCTGTCCCTCCCTGATGTTCCCCTGCTTCTCTGCTTCCCTGTGTCCCTGCTTCCTGCCTCCCTGCTTCCCTGCTTCCCTGCTTCCTGATTCCTGCTTCCCTGCTTCCTGATTCCCTGCTTCTTGCTTCCTGCTTTCCTATTTCCCTGCTTCACTACTTCGTGCTTCCTTGTTTCCCTGCTTTCTGCTTCCCTCTTTCCCTGCTTCCTTGTTTCTCTGCTCTCTGCTTCCCTCTTTCCCTGTTCCCTGCTTCTACCCCCCCCCCTCACTCCTCAGCTTTTCCTTCTACTTGCCCCCCCCCTCACTGCTTTTAACACCCCCCTCCACTAACCCCCCCCCTCTCTCCTGCTTCTACTCCTACCCTCCCCCCTGCTTATACTACCACCCCCATCTCCACTTCCTCTACCCCCCCCCCCCTGTTTCTACTCCTACTCCACCTCTGCTACCTCTGCCCCCCCCCCCCCCCACCGCCTCCCTTCTGCTGCTCCTACCCCACCTAACTCCTGTTTCTACTCCCCCCCCCCCTATCCCCCTTTGTTGCTTCTACTCACCCCCCCCCCATCCCTCTCTGCTTACTCCCCTCCCCCCAACATTCCCTCTGCCTACACCCCTCCCCCCTCTCTCCCGCTTCTGCTGCTTGCTTCCCTTCCCCCCTCCCCTTCCCCCCTCCCCCCATCCACTCACCATTATCTTCGATAATAGTAGTAATAGCAGTAATAATAGTAGTAATAGCAGTAATAATAGTAGTAATAGCAGTAATAATAGTAGTAATAGCAGTAATAATAGTAGTAATAGCAGTAATAATAGTAGTAATAGCAGTAATAATAGTAGTAATAGCAGTAATAATAGTAGTAATAGCAGTAATAATAGTAGTAATAGCAGTAATAATAGTAGTAATAGCAGTAATAATAGTAGTAATAGCAGTAATAATAGTAGTAATAGCAGTAATAATAGTAGTAATAGCAGTAATAATAGTAGTAATAGTAGTAGCGATGATTCAGCATTAACAGTAGTGATAATGATAGTAGTAATAGAAAAAACAGTAGTGATGATATTAACAGTAATAGTATTAATAGTAGTGATGATAATAGTAGTAATAGCAGTAATAATAGTAGTAATAGCAGTAATAATAGTAGTAATAGCAGTAATAATAGTAGTAATAGCAGTAATAATAGTAGTAATAGCAGTAATAATAGTAGTAATAGCAGTAATAATAGTAGTAATAGCAGTAATAATAGTAGTAATAGCAGTAATAATAGTAGTAATAGCAGTAATAATAGTAGTAATAGCAGTAATAATAGTAGTAATAGCAGTAATAATAGTAGTAATAGCAGTAATAATAGTAGTAATAGCAGTAATAATAGTAGTAATAGCAGTAATAATAGTAGTAATAGCAGTAATAATAGTAGTAATAGCAGTAATAATAGTAGTAATAGCAGTAATAATAGTAGTAATAGCAGTAATAATAGTAGTAATAGCAGTAATAATAGTAGTAATAGCAGTAATAATAGTAGTAATAGCAGTAATAATAGTAGTAATAGCAGTAATAATAGTAGTAATAGCAGTAATAATAGTAGTAATAGCAGTAATAATAGTAGTAATAGCAGTAATAATAGTAGTAATAGCAGTAATAATAGTAGTAATAGCAGTAATAATAGTAGTAATAGCAGTAATAATAGTAGTAATAGCAGTAATAATAGTAGTAATAGCAGTAATAATAGTAGTAATAGCAGTAATAATAGTAGTAATAGCAGTAATAATAGTAGTAATAGCAGTAATAATAGTAGTAATAGCAGTAATAATAGTAGTAATAGCAGTAATAATAGTAGTAATAGCAGTAATAATAGTAGTAATAGCAGTAATAATAGTAGTAATAGCAGTAATAATAGTAGTAATAGCAGTAATAATAGTAGTAATAGCAGTAATAATAGTAGTAATAGCAGTAATAATAGTAGTAATAGCAGTAATAATAGTAGTAATAGCAGTAATAATAGTAGTAATAGCAGTAATAATAGTAGTAATAGCAGTAATAATAGTAGTAATAGCAGTAATAATAGTAGTAATAGCAGTAATAATAGTAGTAATAGCAGTAATAATAGTAGTAATAGCAGTAATAATAGTAGTAATAGCAGTAATAATAGTAGTAATAGCAGTAATAATAGTAGTAATAGCAGTAATAATAGTAGTAATAGCAGTAATAATAGTAGTAATAGCAGTAATAATAGTAGTAATAGCAGTAATAATAGTAGTAATAGCAGTAATAATAGTAGTAATAGCAGTAATAATAGTAGTAATAGCAGTAATAATAGTAGTAATAGCAGTAATAATAGTAGTAATAGCAGTAATAATAGTAGTAATAGCAGTAATAATAGTAGTAATAGCAGTAATAATAGTAGTAATAGCAGTAATAATAGTAGTAATAGCAGTAATAATAGTAGTAATAGCAGTAATAATAGTAGTAATAGCAGTAATAATAGTAGTAATAGCAGTAATAATAGTAGTAATAGCAGTAATAATAGTAGTAATAGCAGTAATAATAGTAGTAATAGCAGTAATAATAGTAGTAATAGCAGTAATAATAGTAGTAATAGCAGTAATAATAGTAGTAATAGCAGTAATAATAGTAGTAATAGCAGTAATAATAGTAGTAATAGCAGTAATAATAGTAGTAATAGCAGTAATAATAGTAGTAATAGCAGTAATAATATTAGTAATAGTAGTAGCGATGATTCAGCATTAATAGTAGGGATAATGATAGTAGTAATAGAAAAAACAGTAGTGATGATATTAACAGTAATAGTATTAATAGTAGTGATGATAATAGTAGTAATAATATTGAAGTAATAATAACATTGATTATAATAGTGATGTTATTATCAGTAATAATGGCATTAGCATCTCTTCTCACCAGCGAGGCATAAGTATTGGCGATACGATTGTACGATTGTGTATGCCTTTGACTCGCTAAACTGACGACCATGGTGTGTGTGTACATTGCAAGTTATGAATCATTATCAAAATTATAATTACTATAACTATTATCATTATTATTATTAGTGTTATTATCATTATCATCATTATTATTATTATTATTATTATTATTATTATTATTATTATTAGCGTTATCATCAATATAATCATCATTATTATTGCTGTTTTTATCATTATTATCATTATCACAACTATTATTTTCATTAGTACTATTATTATTATTATTATTATTATTGTTATTATTATCATCATTATTATTATCATTGTTATCATCATTGGTACTATTTTTACTATGCTTGTCATTATTTTATCATTATCATTGTTTTATTATTATCATCATTACTCTAATTATCCTTATCATCACTGTTATTAGCATTAAAATTCCTTCCACTCCCTTGCAAAGAAAGGCTTTTTGATTTATCAGGATTTGAAGGAAATTAAATAGGCAAATACAAAGGCCTGAGAAGCAATACACATCAAGGTAAACCCTATATTTCCAAAGGTAAGTCATATATTTCCAAAGATTAGTCATGCATTTCGAGAGATAAGTCATATACTTCGAAAGGTAAGTCATATATTTGGAAAGGTAAGTCATATACTCCCAAAAGTAAGTCATATTCCGAAAGGTAAATCATATATTTCCATAGCACTCACTGTGAGATAAATACCTATTACGTTGTTATCGGAGGTTAAACTGATAGCACATATCAGTCGAAATCTCCAGTCGAGGCTTTGGACGAGCGATCACGTGAGAGAGAGAAAGGATTAGGTGAAGCAGCAAGAACGATTCGGATTCGGGGTCGAGATTCAAGCAACTGAGAAGCCGATGAAAAAAAATGTATAAACAAATTAATTGAATGAA